AGAAATTTGGGATAAGAAGAACATTACAAGTAGCTGAAGTTCCATCCTTTCTCAACTAAGGAGAGATGAGTCCCAGTGTGTTTTCCTATAGGTCAAATAAAGACTACTATTTCAGCTTCTGTTGTTTCCCAGGTGCTTGGCTAAGGGATTTCACTTGTTCTCTTTTAATCCTCCAACTGCTCTTTGATGTGGGTAATTGTCACTATGTTATAGATACCAAAATCAAGGCTTAGGAGAATTTACTTTGCCCAAGGTCACAACTATTAGATACTGTTTGTCCAAAGATGGGGCAGTGTCTTGCAGGTTTTATGTCAAAGAATGCAGTCATGGAGGTGTTCTGTGCCAGGAACTCCCAGAACTACACATGTCAGCCACAGCTGGGCCAGCTTTTTTTGTTGGACCATTCTTTCTGAATCTTCCTTAGCAGCAGCATCCTTAAACTGACTACATCAGGTATAAGTTATTTTAAGATTATATATTCTAGTATGTAGGTCCTCAGCCCAAACATCTTTCCCCTTCTGTGGTGCTAAAATTGTGTATAATCCGACCAATAAAACAACAGAAATTTAAAAATAATATGCAAATGATTTTGAGTTTAGTAGCATAGTGGCTAAACTCAGAAGCATGTTTCCATTCAACAAACAAATGTAGAAGGTATTAATACCGAAGTAAGGTTTTGGAATGAAGAATCCTGCCTTAGAAAGCAGTGCCACGTATGGATGTGAATTTAACACAGCTAACTTCCTAATGGAGTATCGTCCCAAGGAATGTCAAAAAGATCACTTTTTAATGTATGCTGTTACGTTCAGCTTACCTTGTCTCTGTCCTTTTTCAAAGTGTTCTTACACTTTGGAATGGTTTTACTAATTCTTTGTACTTGAATACAGTATGTCAGGCCATGGGTGAGCACCTTGCACCTAGAAGATCTTTAATAAACACTAAATGACTGAAGGAATATGCAACTGTATGATATTAGTAAAGGGCATTTGGTTACCAAAAAGTTCAAAGGAATTCCTTTTATGCTGCTGTCTGAAATCAGGATTAACAACTCGTAAAGCTACTGTCTTAAAATGTATTTTATATGTAGTAACCTTTCAAGAGACAATTTGATGTGAAGTTTACAAAAGCAAATGTTGTAGCAGAGGTTTGTTATATAAAAACAACCCATGCCTTTTGAGAGAAGTTAATGGTATATTTTACAGGATAGCTAATTATAAAATCAACCCCATGTGTTTATGTATACTAAAAATAGCTCTCCCGTCTTTTCTGGCATAGTCTAGGGTTAGAACTTTTGGGCAATTATATCCAATTGATGTGGAAATTGATGGTTACCCTACACCCATGGTCGGCAAACTGCGGCTCGCAAGCCACATCGGCTCTTTGGCCCCTTGAGTGTGGCTCTTCCTAAGCCTTAGGAGTACCCTAATTAAGTTAATAATAACACTGTACCTACCTATATAGTTTAAGTTTAAAAAAGTTGGCTCTCAAAAGAAATTTCAATTGTTGTACTGTTGATATTTGGCTCTGTTGACTAATGAGTTTGCCGACAGACCACTGCCCTACACTATTAAATAGGAATTTTTTATTGTTACATATTATATGTATTCCTGCATGAGAACATTATCCATTCCTCCAATTTAAGTGACAGATCAGAAACAGAAAGATGGTATGTTTCTTCATCCCATGATTGCTTCTCTACTATTTTTGAGAGATTCCACTGACCAGGTGTTTTGTTTTTCTTTTTCTGAAAACAAAACAAAACCTTAAAAGATAGCCTTAACTCCTGCAGACTACACTATCATCTATAGTACAAAATTCTTGGGTTTACAAGTTTATTGTAGTCAGCTTAGATGATTGTTGCCCCTATTTCATTTGCCATTTTGAAAGAGCCTTGTTTGAGAAAAAAATAAGTGGTCATTTCTGTGATATTGAATGTTTTTGCAAAGAATAAAATTACTCTTAAATTCCTTTTTCTTTCCCACTTACCCTAAGGAAGCCAAAGGAGTCCAGCAGGTGGGTGTCCACAATGTGGTTCACTTCCTTACCAAAACCACTTGGGCCCAGCATTATTTAGAGTGATGGGGAGGGAGAAAATAGAAACTCAGAAGACCACAGTGGTGGGAACAGAACACTACCAGAGAGAGATCTTGGCAGGATGGGGTGTAAAAATATCATGTGAAGAGTGCGGAACTTTCCAAGATTAAATTGTGGTTATGAGGAGAGAGCCCTCTTGAGAAGTCAGCAGTGGCTGTACTGGTTTTCTGGGGGCAGTCCCAGTTTTTAGATCAACACCTGTTCATTATTTTAGTGTCTCCTTTCGCTTTAAAAAAAAGTCTCAGTTTAGATAAGTTATATGGCCAGCCCATATTTAAACTCAAGTAGATTTTCATATGTTTAAATTGCTGGTGGTCTAAAGCAACTATATGTACACAGTCCTATTCAGTTTGATTTTTGAGATTGAATTGGGTAATCAGAGTTAGTACAAAGCAAGTCAGTCAAGATGACCCTTCATGTAGGAAATCACTCCCAGGCCATGTTTAGGTCTGACACATATAAAAAAATTTTTTAATTAAAAAAAAAAGAAAAACCAGCCCGCCATTGAGCATCAACCCGGGAACCAAGAGGTCACTGGTTTGATTCCTGGTCAGGGCACATGCCAGGGTTACAAACTCAATCCCCAGTAGGGGGCATGCAAGAGGCAGTCCATCTATGTTTCTATCTCTATTTCTCTCCTCTCTCTAAAAAGCAATAAAAACATTTAAAAAAACAAAACAGCCCTAACCGGTTTGGCTCAGTAGATAGAGCTTCGACCTGCATATTGAAGGGTCCCGGGTTCATATCTTTGGCTGAGCATTAACAAAAATAAATAAATAAAAACTTTAAAAAATGTTATGGGAAATTTAAAGAAAATAACTTTATTTCTACAGGAAGGAAAACTTCCAAATCACTTATTTGGTGGCAATTAAAGGCTGTAAATATAGAAATTGTTAAATATGGGACTGTGTAAGATACTTTGAGAGCCCCAAAGCAAATCTGTAATTATGGTTCCTGTCCCTTTTACCCTGCTCTTACTCCATACTTGCTGATGCTCCTGTGCCCCCTAGGAAGTAAACTATTAAATTCTTAGTCTTAATTCACAAGGACTATAATATTATGACTACATGTTAGTATTAGAACATGACTAGTGGATAATGGTTTAACTAGTTATAGTCATAGCTTTAATTTCCTTTACATGAATTCCTGACAAAAAAAATCCAGAAACCAAGAAATGAGTTTTAATACTGGACATGTTTTCAGTCAAGTTCTGGGAAAATTATTTTTCTGGATATTCCTATTAACACATTCTCATGTGCCCCTTTTCCCTCATGCTTGTGGTATTTCTAGTGGGCTAACTACACTCCAGCACTAACACCCCAACCTAGTCCTCATGTCATGTGTTTACCTTGTCTAAATTCCTCTTTCATTACTCTCCCAGCACATAGAACAGTTATTGGAAAAATAGATTTGCTTAAATTCTTTGGAACAAAGCCTACACTTTTTTTCTTAAGTACTTTTAAATTTATTTTTAATGAATTAATTCCAGTGGAAATAATTTCAATTGATGCAGAATTTAAAATGGTTCTATGTTTCCCAGCAACAATCACACTAATCTAGGCTAATGGGAGGAGTATAGGAGAGGGAGAAGGCACAGTTTAATCAGAATTGAACTTTAAGATACAGTACAGTGAAAAAGTGTGTCTTGTATTAAAAGTGTTACAGAGGGGAGGTCCATGGTAGTTAAGAGGAATCAATGTGTATAAATGGAAGCTCCAAACCTTTTAAAAGATGTTTATCTAAAAAAAAAAAAAAAGATGTTTATCTCATTGATTTGGACTAGCTAAGACTAAAGCATTTGTGCAATTCCTGTATAATTTCCAAACTAAAGTAGTAGGGTCTTAAAGTAATGAGGTTTTTACTATAGTTACCTAATTATAGGTGATATAATTGTGCGGTTGTTCCAATTATCCCTTAAAAGATAGGAAACCCTTTGTTTTTAAATGTTTTAATTCTTTATTGTATTTTTTAAAATTTTTAAATATATTTTTATTGATTTCAGAGAGGAAGGGAGAAGGAGAGAGAGTTAGAAACATCAATGATGAGAGAGAATCACTGATGAGCTGCCTCCTGCATGCCCCCCACTGGGGATCCAGCTCCCAACCCAGGCATGTGCCCCTGGCTGGAATCGAACCTGGGACCCTTCAGTCCGCAGGCTGATGCTCCATCCACCAAGCCAAGCCAGCTAGGGCAAATGTTTTAATTCTTGATTGACAGAAAACATGAAGGATATTTGCCTCCTGACTTCAACTCATCTATGGGGAAAACCATTTAAAACAGAACACTTGCTGACTCTCGCGGGCACTCTTTATTGAGCAATTCAAGGATTGGAGAAATTACCAATTTTTTTTTTCTTGGTAAACCTATTTTTGTTTAAAGAGTAATTACATCTGAAAAACATGTATCGTTCAGGTAATACTTTCACAGCCATTACTCATTTCTTAAAACTTGGGTAAACTCTCTAAAGTCTAATTAGAAGAAACCATACACATTTTTTACCCCATTCCATCAACTTCTTTGACCCTTTTCTGTCTCAAGCACCTATGCAGATAGGAACTTTCCTTAATTTTCTTTGGAAGCTTAAACTATTTGGAAGTTTACCCCAGCACTACCAGATCATGCTCTCTGAGCATTGGCGTTTCAAGGCCCCTAACACATATTCTTTTATCCTTTTCTAAACATTTACGGGAAACTTCCTTATTTTTATTGATTGATTTTAGAGAAAGAGGGAGGGGGAGGAGGAGAGAGACATCAATTTGTTGTTCCACTTACATTGGTTCTTTTTTTTTTATTATTTTTAAAATATATTTTTATTGATTTCAGAGAGGAAGGGCGAGAAACATCCAAGATCAGAGAGAATCATTCATTGATTGGCTGTCCCGCCCCTTACTGGGTATCGAGCCCACAGCCCGCCCTGACTGGGAATCCAACGGGGACCTCCTAGTTCCTAGGTCCACGCTCAACCACCAGGACACACAGGCCAGGGGTTCATTCCTGTCATGTGCCGTGACCGGGCTCGACCTGTCACCTTGGTGCATAGGGATGACGCTCTAACCGACTGAGCAATCCGGCCATGGCTTTTAGGGAAAACTTTAAAACCAGAAGTCGCTTCGCTCCCCTAGCCTATTTGCAGCCTTGCTGTATACAAGACTTAGCTACATTCCCAAACGCGCACTGTCTGGGCAGCTCACGTCCCAACTGTGGGCTTAGCCCTGCGGCTAAAGGCGGAAAATGCACTCCTTTCTTGTGACACGGTTTGCAAAAAGAAACAAATCTTTTCTGACATATTCACCGCTTCCCACTCTAGCCGGTCAGGTCTGGAACAATCCCGTCCCCTGGGTTAAGAAGACATTGCGCATTTCCGTGTAGAGGCGGGGGCGAAGAAGACCGGAAGGAAACCGCTTCCTTTTTTGCGCAAGCGCACGAAGGCTTCCTCCATTGGTCACCTCGACTCGGAAGTAGATGGCTTCCTCTGCGCATGCGCCCAGCGCCCGGCCGGCTGTTTTAGCGATGGACGCGGTGGTGATGACCCGTTTGTATCTGCAGAATGCAGTCGGCAGGCCGGGCCTCGAATAACGGCGATTACGCAGGTTTTCTCTTATCTTCTGAACTCTGTCTAAAGCGGTGATGCATTCATGCTAAAGTACCTAAACTCTGCCAGACTGTGAGGGTTCTCAGTGTTCTCAAACCTGTCGAACTGGGGGAGGGGCCGTGAAAAATAGTTTGTAGAGAGATTTCCCTGCGCCCTGCCCCGCCCCGCTTTGGACGCCTGAGTACGTTCACAAAATACCCAACATTAATACCTTACTTGCTGACTGCGCATGGGACTTTTAAATAATATTTCTCAAGTATTTGTTTACAGAAGGAAGCGAGGAGAAACTGAAGCGGTGCAAGCCAGGTGTATATGGTAATTAAAGATCCAGAAATTATCATTAAAGACCGTTTATTTTTTAGTCTAATAATCTAATGTTTTAATCTTCATTTTGCTGGGCAGAAAATCAAAATACTGGGCTGCCTGGTTCAGGGCCGGACGCTGAGCCAACCTAGTGACTTGGAGCTTCGAAGCCATGGCAACAAAGGAATCAGATGCCAAAGCAGAGTCAGCCCTCACCTCATCAGCCAATCAGAGCAAACAAGCGTATGAAAAACCAAACTATGCTCTCAGATGTACTCTTGTGGGACATATGGAAGCAGTATCATCAGTTAAGTTTAGTCCTAATGGAGAGTGGCTAGCAAGTTCTTCTGCTGACAAAGTAATTATAATTTGGGGAGCCTATGATGGAAAAAAGGAGAAAATTCTTCATGGTCACAGTCTGGAAATATCAGATGTTGACTGGTCATCAGATTCCAGTCATCTTGTTTCTGCCTCAGATGATAAAACTCTCAAGATTTGGGATGTGAGATCAGGAAAATGTTTGAAAACACTGAAGGGGCACAGTAATTATGTGTTTTGCTGTAATTTTAATCCACCATCCAACCTCATAATTTCAGGATCTTTTGATGAGAGTGTGAAAATATGGGAGGTGAAAACAGGCAAGTGCCTCAAGACTTTGTCTGCTCATTCTGACCCAGTTTCTGCTGTTCATTTTAGTTGTAATGGGTCCTTGATAGCATCAGGTAGTTACGATGGCATCTGTAGAATCTGGGATGCTGCATCAGGTCAGTGTTTAAAAACACTTGTTGATGATGATAACCCTCCCATCTCTTTTGTAAAATTTTCTCCAAATGGTAAATATATTCTCATTGCAACTTTGGATAATACTCTTAAACTATGGGATTATAGCAGAGGCAGATGCCTGAAGACATACACTGGTCATAAAAATGAGAAATACTGCATATTTGCCAATTTTTCAGTTACTGGTGGGAAGTGGATTGTGTCTGGTTCAGAGGATAACCTAGTTTACATTTGGAACCTTCAGACTAAAGAGATTGTACAGAAATTACAAGGTCACACAGATGTCGTCATCTCAGCAGCTTGTCATCCTACAGAAAACATCATTGCATCAGCAGCGTTAGGAAATGACAAAACAATTAAACTGTGGATAAGTAACTACTAAACCCTTTAGAAATCAAATAGTAGAGCCAAGTTGGCAAAAAGTTGTATATTTTAAAAGATGATTTCTCTTAATTTTGGCATGGTTTTGTATTTCTTAACATTGTCTTGAATTATATAAGATTTTAAGACATACAACCTACATTTTCAAAGCAAGACAGTTGGAATAGCAAGTCTACAACCCAGGGCTTCTGACTCTTATCTTGAATTTATTATTAATCTCTTGTGTCTGTCATTGAATAGATTTCCATTCTATTCTTCTCAATGACTACTTAAAGGATTGGTATATTTGAGGAATATTTAGAAGATTCACAAGACAGAATGATTAATTAAATGAGGAGAGCAGAGGAGTTTGGAATAACTCCAAGGTTTTTGGTTTGGGAGATCAGATGAATAAGAGCTTAGGCCTGGGATGGTGGTGGATTAGAGATGTGTGTCAGGCACCACTCACACTAAGTGCAATTCCTGTATAGTGATAGCCTACCAAATGGGACATGAAATAGTCTATGGAATCAAGTCTTTAATTGGGAAAAATAAGTCATGATTAGGTTTGTTCTGAGAGTGTAAAACATTATAAATAGCATTTTACTGAAGGACCCCTAGATGGCTTGTCAGGTTGGAGTGGTGAGGCCGCTCTCCTTTATTATGTGACTGACTCACTAGTTCCTATCCATGCTTCAAACTTAGTTCAGAAATCAGTATTTCGCCGAAACCGGTTTGGCTCAGTGGATAGAGCGTCAGCCTGCGGACTGAAAGGTCCCAGGTTCGATTCCGGTCAAGGGCATGTACCTGGGTTGCGGGCACATCCCCAGTAGGAGATGTGCAGGAGGCAGCTGATCGATGTTTCTCTCTCATCGATGTTTCTAACTCTCTATCTCTCTCCCTTCCTCTCTGTAAAAAATCAATAAAATATATTTAAAAAAAAAAAAAAAAGAAATCAGTATTTTGTGGAGCCATCATGCCTGCATGACTCCAATCACAGTTGGCAGCTGAGTTAGATTTTATTGCTATTTCTTTTTTTTTTAAAGAAAGCATTTTTATTAAAAAAATATATATATATATTTGATTTCAGAGAGGAAGGGAGGAGAGATAGAAACATCAATGATAAGAGAGAACTACTGATCAGCTGCCTCCTGCACAGCCCCTACTGGGGATCGAGCAATTGAATCATGTGCCCTTGACCAGAATTGAACCCCAGGACCCTTCAGTTCAAAGCTTTGGACCCATCACTTTGATAATGGGAAGTAAAGTAAGATATGGAACCTGACTCTAAAGAGTTAATATTTAAGTCAAAATAAGTTGTCTCATTTTTCATTTAATCAAAAAAGTTGAGAGGACGCATTTAACCTGGATCAAAGCCATGAAATTAGACAAGTCATTTAAGAAAATTTATTTGTACCTCTAGAGCAGAAATAGGGAAATGGTATGTTTGTACAAACCATAACTTTTATGAAATGGATCCGCATACCACATATCCACTGAGCTAAACCAGCTAGGGCTATTGCTATTTCTATCGTTTCTGTTATCAAAGTTCAAAATATATCACTTATCAATTTGTATTGTAATGGTTTCATAGGCCATGTTTCCCATATATTATGTGTTCTGTGGAGACAAGAAATATGTTATGCTATTGGACTTTGTATTCTCAGTTTTTGTATATAGAAGGGACTCAAGTGATGTTTGATGAATGACAATGAATTATATCACCAGCACTTCATTCCTTGCCTGCTTTCACTAAATTTTTGGAATCAATTCTCCATACTATTATTTTTGTTGTATCTGAGTATAATCTCACACAAGGCTTATATAAAATATAAAGTGGAAAATGGTTTCTGCCCACTATCTAGAGACATGGTAAACATGAAAAAAAAATCTAGAAATTAAGCAAAAGATAGTACAACAGTAATTTAATTGAAAGTATCAAGAGCAAAACTGTCTTTTGTGTTCTACAATATTTTATACTAGTGCTCACTAAATCTGAATTGCTTGACAAGTTCTGAAAAACATAAGATATTAAAAGTTACTAGTAGGGTATGACTGCTGAGAAGTTAGCATGTGAGGGTACTGGGAGAAGTGAGATTAGATAGGGGCAGGTCTGAAATTCTGGCCAAGAAATTTGTATTTAATCCATAAGGAGGTAGTCACTATAAGTTACTGAACAGGAGAATGACACAAAATGAGAAAAGATTGTGTGTATTCTTGCTGCATATGTGAGCTTTGGTTTAAGAAAACATTTTTATTACAATAAAACTCCAAGATACAACACTTTAAAATGCTACTTTAGAAATTAAAAATGGTATTGTTTTATGAAGAAAGATTACTTATTTTTAAAAGAAGTACATTAAAATTTACCCATATTTAGAACATTGGTTTAGGTAAGATGTAACATAAATGTTCCAAAATAAACTAATCTAAAATGTGTAAGGAACAGTGCTTTTTGATAGTAAATTTTCAAGTGATAAAAATCAAAGAATTTGGTATCTAAAAAGAAGCTATGGTCAAATTACTACAAAATAAAATTTATAGACAAACATCATTAACATCAGATAGTTATAAAGCTCTAGGTAGACTGATGTATTACATTTTATTAAGCCAAGTTCCCAAACAGCTGCATTTTAATCTGCTATAACCCTCTTAGGAGACCTAGCAGATTGAGATGGCTGTGAGGACTTGTCATCCACTATTATTTGTGAGAGAATAAATGACTACTTAAAATAGAATCCAGCATCCTTACCTAAATATGAGACAGCTTGGCATACCGGTCAAAGTGAGATATATACCAGGTGCAAATGCAACACTAATAAGAAAATGCATTTGATAGACTTTCATAATTGAGAAGTTTAGTGTAAAGGCAGCAGGACAAGGACCAGTTAGGAATTCTAAGCCATGGAGCAGAAGAGGTGACTGCTGGTCCCAAGCAATTCAATGATGCTGGGATTTCAAAGTCCTCAGAAACTTGTGGCAAGATCATTATCATCACCTTGCTAGGACATTTTCAAGGACTGTGCTAAAAGCCTCTATGCCAGCACACCCCAGAATGGCAAAGTGTGTTCTGTCTGCTTTCCAGGGCTCTGAGAAGATCCATGGCACTTGAGGAGGTTAGCTCTCTAAGATGCACTTGGGCAGTGTTCTCAGCTGGCCTTCCTTCTCTCTCCAGAAAGGAATACAAATAAGAGAGAGAGAGAGAAATGCAGAAAAAGAAGCATTTGACTTCTGGGGAGAGGTCACTTTGATAATGAGAAGTAAAGTAAGATATGGAACCTGACTCTAAAGAGTTAATATTTAAGTCAAAATAAGTTGTCTCATTTTTCATTTAATCAAAAAAGTTGAGAGGACGCATTTAACCTGGATCAAAGCCGTGAAATTAGACAAGTCATTTAAGAAAATTTATTTGTACCTCTAGAGCAGAAATAGGGAAATGGTATGTTTGTACAAACCATAACTTTTATGAAACGGATCCGCATACCACATTCTTTTAAGACAGGCTTGTTGCTGACACGTTATTCCTGGGTTTTCAAAATCTAGCCAACATGAATACCTCTCACTCTGTTTTGGCCTTCATAGCTGCTTCCTCTCTCAGACGAGCTTTCTTTTCTAAGTTCAGGCTTGTTAAAGACTCGTGTCTTTTGACAGCCTAAAATGAAACAAATTTGAACAAGAAATTATTTATGCCCGTTTGTGAATGATGTCACTGATAGCAGCAGGTTAGCGATGGTACAAGAGTACAAGAACGGAATGGTCTGGAGCATGCACACTGGGCACAGCAGTCCCATCCATGTGACTTCTGCTTCCTCTACTGCTTCACAGTCCATCAGTCCATTCATTCAAGCACTTCTCTTCCTTTCTGGCCTCATTCTTTAAATCTTCTTGTCTCTCTTCTCTTACAATTTATTCCCTTGTCTATCCCTTTTCCCTCCCTTTAGTATTAAATATGTTCTCATTTTTATCCCTTTTTTCTCCTTTTACTTTTTTGTTGTTGTTGCTACCATTTTTTCCTTCTCCAACTCATTTGTATTCTTTCATACCAAAAACCATTCAGCTTTGGGGATCCCAGACTTTACCAAATATTATCATTGATGACTTCCAGCAGCTTCTATCCTAAAACTCCATCCTTAAAGAGCAAACAGCAGTGGGGGAGAGGCAACCATCCTCTTCCCTTGCTTCCCTCCTTGTGACCTGTTACATTATATGTGAAGCTTATATGAACAGACCAGCTTTAAAATTTTTATACCAAGTAAGTGATACTACCACCATATAAGGTAGTATTTCCTGTGTAATTTCACATATAAAGAGTTCTAGAAACCCCTATGTCCTGTTCACCTGCTTCTGCAGATTTCAGTCAGAACTAAGCATGAGAGGTCAAAGAGGGAGACAGAAGAAAAACTGAAGTGGGGCAGGAAGAGTTGTCAAAACGTCAGCCTAACATTATTTAACATTCCAAGACTAAAGAGAGCTGGAAGTTCCTTTCCCTTTTACTCTAGCCAGTGGTCGGCAAACTCATTAGGCAACAGAGCCAAATATCAACAGTACAACGATTGAAATTTCTTTTGAGAGCCAACTTTTTAAAACTTAAACTATATAGGTAGGTATATTGTTATTAACTTAATTAGGGTACTCCTAAGGCTTAGGAAGAGCCACACTCAAGGGGCCAAAGAGCCACATGTGGCTCGCGAGCTGCAGTTTGCCGACCAGGGGCAAACTACGGCATCTGGCCCGTTTGAAATGAATAAAACTAAAAAAAAAAAAAAAAAAAAAAGACCGTACCCTTTTATGTAATGATGTTTACTTTGAATTTATATTAGTTCACACAAACATTCCATCCATGCTTTTGTTCCGGCCCTCCGGTCCAGTTTAAGAACCCATTGTGGCCCTCAAGTCAAAAAGTTTGCCCACCCCTGGTCTAGAGACTCTTGGGAGAAGGAGGTCAGTTACCACTGGGTTTGTAGAAAAACTCTTTTAATATCTGATAATAGATACAAGACATCCGTTTCCACATGTAAACTGTGAAACAGAATTAGACACAGTATTAAAATAAGGGCTTAACCAGTGCTGCTGCATATAAAACTATATTTTAA